CCCGCTTCGGGGTCGGCGGATAACCACAATAAAACACATAGAAGTTCTAATCACAATGATAATATAATAAACTTTCTAGCATATGCCAGCCTCTGAAGCCCTGTCGGCCCAGATGCATTCGATAATCATTCGCCTTGGTTCCCAAACCAACCAAGCACGTGAGCAGTCCAGGCGAAGCTGCACCTGGCCTTCGCGAAGTGGAGCCTCAGTCTTAGCCTGCTCTTGAGGTGGTACAAAAGGCTCATATGGGAGTTTCCCAATAGCAGGGGTACCTTTTTGGGGGTCCCCCATAATAAGGACTATAGTATTTTAGGGCCTATGTTGGGGTACCCTAATTTTGGGAAACTACCATATTGCTGAAGTTCCTGTCAGGATGGAGCTGCCTTTCTGACACCAAGATGTCACGAGGCCAACTGTTTCACAATTGATGGGCGGCCAAAGCGACGCAGGGGCTCCGCAAAACAAGACAAGAGTCACACTCTGCCGGTCTTTACCAAGGTCAGCTTCAGAGATACAAGTGATTTGGGTTGTCTTGAGTGGGGAGCAAAAGTGCAGCTGCCACCTCAGGTTTGCGTCTGTGGTATCCTGACGAAGTAACATGCAGCATTAGCGGCGTAGCGCCGAGCACAGTCAGAAAACGCAGAGAGTTTCTAGTATGCACGCTGCAGGCACACTCGGAATTAGGCATGCTAGTCTTCGGCGGTTGCCAATTCGCGAGCAGCTCATTTGCTGCCAGCCCGTCGATTCCACGACCTCCCAGGCACTGTCAGGCGGGCATGGCCATTGCAATGCACAGAACGGGGTTTGTATGTCTTCATTTGGCTGTGAATAAAAAAAATTGGGCTGTAACAGGCTTGGGCGGCCGTTCCGCGACATTGGTTTGTAACAGAATCTCCTGGCTTGCGACAAGCACCTTTGCGACAAGGTTCTTTTGAAGAGCATACCTGCGCCAAGCATTCGCGCAAAGGTGTCTAAAGACAGGCCGTCACAAACGTGTGTAAGAGGGGGGTGGAGTGGCGGGGGGGGGGGGCGTTGGGGGCCGCGACGGAACGTGGTTTTGATTCACAGCCATTTCTTGAAGATGCCAGTTTGAGTTGTGGTTGCCGAAGATGTTGTGTCAAAAGGAGAGGTAGTTGCCAGTCGCCGGCGCCGTAGCACGTGTTGTTGTCGTTGTTGTAGTAGCAGCAGGAGTACTAGCATCAGCGGCAGTACTACTTCTACTATTATTGGTACTAGCAGGAACAGTAGTAGTAGTAGTAGTAGTAGTAGTACAGTGCGAGCGTTGGGTAAGAAAACCGGACAGCGAGCTCAGAGGGCACTCATTTTCTTAGCTTACGCTTCCATGAGATTGTGGTTCTCAGAATCCAGTGCCCACTTCATTTTCTTAGCATTTTCTTAACATGCAGTAGCAACTGAAGGGAGCAGT